TCAGGGAAGGGAATCTAGTGTTAATAAAATGAAATGAACCCATACGTCCCAAGTTGCTGAAACAAATTATATATTTTATACGTGAAAGTCGGGACTTGTGGCAGAATTTAATTTGTTGCAAGAGTGAATTCAAAGATATTGTCGCTTGGCATCAAAGATGGGAATATCTATGATCTTAGGCTGAGATTCGAATTTTGGATGCCTTCCAACTTTCCGCGATGCATTTTTAGGACTCGTTTTCATTCTCTCCCCGATTTTTTTGGTAAAGTCTGGGAAAAGTATAAAAGCTTGAGGAGGTATGAGCAGCCTAATGACCTTCAAAGCATTGGACTGGACATCTCACAATATTATAATAGGAATAAGGGCAGCACATGCCAGAGTTGGAAGGCTACTTTTTTTTTTGGGGTTATTATTGGCTGGCTTTTTCTTTTACTTTGCAATTTGCAACGTCAATGGACTGATAATCATCTCTTTTGGAAGCTTGTTTTATTCTGGTCAAATAATGAAGCATGATGTAGTCACTAACAGTAATAATATTTTTAAAGGCAAGCTCAAATTTGTTTATAATCATCACATTTATAATTATTTAATGGTAAACCTACATGAAAAAAAAATACATGTTAAAATGTGATTGAAAAACTTGATAAAATTATTATAAGAAATTTAATCTATATATTTTCCCATTTATAACCGTGAGAGTAATTCATTCACTCCAAATTGTTGCCGTTTATCTCATCTTCTCTTCTCTTTTATTCTGACATGTACGCTCCAAAAAAGAGCTGGAGTTGCAAACAATTTCTACTTTTCCTGACAGTTTCTGGGTTCCAATCAGGACCATAACTCAACGGAGTAAAAATAGAAAATCTCCTCACCATCTACGTGTGAAAGGAAGTAATGACTAATGAGGCAGAGCACGCAGTTTAATTATATATATATATATATATGGTGACAGACAGAATAATAATAGGAAAAGAGAGAGAGAGGAAGAGGGAGCGTACAACGAACATAAGAGGCCAAGAGAGTGCATTTTTCTGATAAAGTGGAAGAATCAGTGAATGGACCACTATGGTGAATTGTGGAGTTCTCAGATTTGCTGTCTCTTGTCTCTCTCTCCCATTTGAAAGTCACATCTTTCTTTCTTTCTTTCTTTTCATCGTCTTCCATCTTTAATTTATACATCTGCATGACCTAATATGCTTAAATAAAACAACATCCGACCAAGAAAAACGGGAAAAAAAATGTAAATACCAATTTCATAAACAATCCCTTTTTTTGTCATATTATTTTCAAATGCATAAATATATAGAGATTCAATTTTCTCGCCCAGTGGGGAAAGAAAAAGGAGAAGGAAAGAGAGAGAGAGAGGGAAAAAAAATGAAAAGGGATGTCACTTTCTGATTCCATTAGTAGGGCAAGCTGTTGGGCAGAAAAATTAGATGTAATGAAACGCGATATGAAAAAAAAAAAGGGTGGAAGATAAGAAACGTGGCAGAGGGATTGATCTTATCTTGTGAAGAATAAGAAACCCACTCAAAACCCAATAAAAGATTAACTCAGATATTTCGAGATGTATTAACTAACGAGTGAAGATTTGGAGAAATTTGGGTCGCACAAGCAAGCAATGACCAAAGCATCTGGAATAATTGCATCCATGCACTGTAAATTTAGAGTAATATGCAAGGGACGTTAAATTACATTTCCATGGAAAGTTGTTTCCTTTTGCTTTTCATCTTTCTTTCTCTTTTTAAGTGTGATTTTTTAATTTCTGGTTTTGGATGTTTGTTTGAGACCTGCTGGTCAAAGTGTGGGAAGATGAGAACAAAGAATCAAGCCCCACCTAATTAATTAGGCTTCCATGTTCTTCACCTACATTTAGTTATTTTATTAATTCATTACTCATTAACAATACTTGCCACTATCTATTAACCACTTCATAATTGGTGTCCCATTTTAAGTTGGTGAAATAATTTCCCTTATCTTTTCCCGTTCTTTACCTACTAAGCTTGCCATCTACACTTTGATTATTGGTTGGACTTCTAAGTATTATAGTGCAGCTCAATTCTGGATCGCGTGCACGTACGAATAATCCTAACAGATTATAATAACAATTATTACTTATTGATGGTTAATTATCAATAAAAAATAGAATAATCTCGAATTAATAACAAATTTATCTAAATTACGTTCAATGCACTGATTCAATATAAGACGGTAGTCCTGAGTCCTGACATTAAACGCAAAAGAGACAAAAACGTAATAATAGAGGGAGTATGGGTGAGATTTGAATTAAAAGTGAAAATGGATGATGGGTTCGTGCCGCGATCAATGTCTAATTCAGATTATTATTTAGCTTTCTATACATATAAATAAACAACAATAGAGTCAACATTTAATGATTTTCAATTTCCTTCTATTTTGTTAGACGTTTGCTCAGTTCGGGAAAATTATTTTGCAGGTGTTCATATTTTTCTAATACCTATATATTTTTCACTATTATATCATTTAATTTTACTGTTCTCGTTATTTAAAAAAAGGGGATACATTCCAAATTAACTACAGAATGAAATCATAAGTATTTGCAAAATAATTTTCCCGGCTGCTAGTTGAATCTTGGTACGCAATACTATAAGGGGCTAAATACAAGCTCCATTGCTGGTTAAAAAAAAAAAAATACAAGCTCCATTGGTTGTATGTATATTTTTATTTTATCTTGCTACTCATCAATATCTTCTCATTTGGGAGGATCTTATTCGATACACTATTAGGAGGTGTTTGGAAGCTTATAGGAATGCTTTTAAAAATTATTTTTTCATAAAGCAAAATAAATACATCTACATATTTATTTTTTATATCGTAAAAGCACTTTTAAAACTTTTCTATCCAAACATCCTCTAGGTAGTAAATGTAAATATCACTTCTAGTAGGATTTGAATCTTGGTTTGCCACATTATAAATGACTAACTTCTCTCGCTTATAGGAACTTAAAAAAGTACTTATAAATTACTTACTAATAAAGTCATCATATTAACAGTGGGATTCGAACTCATTATTTTATATGTCATGAGTCAATTCCTTACAAACTGAATCAATTCTTCATGGTGGTTCGTTTTCTTGTTAATGTTTCATTGGGCTGGAGATAATGGTTTGCACATATGCCTGACCAAAATATCGGCTCTCCTCGTGGGTAGGGATGGGTCCATCGGCCCAACAAAACAAAAAAACCTGTGTTCGTCCACGAGTCACGCGGGGGCAATTACGTAATACGGCTACGTAATTTTTTCAAAATTAAAAGTCTTACTGCCATTATTTTAAATATCAATAGCATGTACTAATTGTTTGGGATTCGTTCAAATATTTTTTGTAATGGCCGACATTTTTTTTAGGATCTTTTTGTCTTTTTATTAAAATTGCCTTTAATTAAAAAAAAATATCAATAGCATTCTGTCGGGGTGACGTGAGTGTGTATATAAGTCCAGAAATGATGTCTATGCCTTTACGAATTGTGATCCGGAATGAGGGGTGTTTGAGAAAATCGGAGACTGCGCCGCTCCCCATTCCATTGGCCACTTATTATTTGAACAATTTTATTGTTATTAGAATTTAGGGTTAATAAAATTTTGGTCCCTCAAATTTAAGCCCAATTTGGTTTTAGTCCCTGAAATTTAAAACGTGTGGTATTGGTCCCTCAAATTATATCCGTTTATGTCCGTTGGTCCCTGACTTCTTGGCACCGTTAAATCCTGCTGATATGGAATTAACACCGTTATGTGCTGAGTTGGACCACATGACCTGGTAATGAACCGCTGAGCTGGCATCCTGGTGTCATGTTAGCTAGAGATGGACCGAAAAAAGAAAAAAAAAAAAGGGGAATCAGAGGCAAAACCCAGGGGACAACGGTGGAAGAAAAAACAAAGGGGAAAGAGTTTAGATAGAATCTGGACGAGTGGAGAAAGGAAACCAAGATCCGTGAAGGCGAAGGCAACAAAGATCCGTGAAGGCGACAAAGAGTCAGCAAACGCGACCTAGATCCGCTGAAGGCGACGAACATTCGGCAAACGCAGGTAAGGATGACTGGTGTTTGGTAGGTTGTTGATATGGGTTTTCAATTTTTGCAATATCATATCTCTCCATCTCGTCTTCAACATCTGATTCAACTTAGGCTGTAGTCAGGTGGAATGGGGTCAAGCAGGAACTCATCATCGTCGACTGTGGCTAGAAGGATGGGAAAAAGAAGACCATTTCTCTAATATATATTCAAGAATATATTCAAGAATAAATAAGAATATATTTATCGATAAGCTGTTTGATAAATGAACTTATCGATAAGCTACTCGAATATATTCTTGAATATATATTAGAGAAATGGTCTTCTCGAATATGTATTTGAGAACTGGTCTTCTTGAATACATATTCGAGAACTGATCTTTGGTCTTCTCGAATATGTATTTGAGAACTGGTCTTCTTCAATACATATTCGAGAACTGATCTTTGGTCTTCTCTCAAGAATTATTCACGTGGTGAAGCAATTACTGATCCAACAATTATATAACAAGGGTGGTAATTTTGATGGCAATAATGTTAATTGAAACAATAGAATAGAAGAACATATGAATTAAATAAGATGTAAAGGTAACCTAATTAATAATGAGGAACTGAAGATGTAACATAAGATAATAACCTTAATTAATTATAATGGACATTTGTACATGCCACTAATGTTGCTAAAAGAGTTACATCACATAGGACTTGCAAAATAAGAAGGCATCCATCTGAAAGACTAAGCATTGGTTCACCAAAATATAGACCCAGGAAGTGATAATCCCATGTAAAAGGCAATAAGGTAACCATAATCCAAGTAACGAAATACATAGTACAAAATAGTCAAATACATAGTCTTAAATGATTTGTCGACTGTTGGGAGGGTAAAGTGGAATTGGGTGGTTGCTGTGAAGGTGGAGGGGGGGTTGCTGTGTATATGCTTCCCATTGCAATTTTTAATGTCAAGGTTGACTGCTACCCGGAGGAGTTGCAACAATTGACTCTTGAGTAGAAGATGATTGCTTTCTCTTGATTGAAAGCTTGTTAGGTCTGGTGGGTTGCTTGCAAGTCCGCCGATTGTGTCCTTGTTTTCCACAATTAGAGCATAAGAAGGTGCGATATTGTCGCTTCTCATGTTCTGTCTCAGCTGATTGTTGTTCGTCCAATCCTTTCTTTCGTTTTTTTGTTGGCCTCCCAGGACGCTTGTGATATACGGGAGGTTCAATGGGCTCACCATCAGCTTTCTCCCACAATGCTTCACCATTGATTGGCTCAATAACAGGTGAGTAACACGCAACAAATGATTGCAATGTTAAATACTTGTCCACATAATCATGTGGATCCTCCCTCTTGGCATAAATACAAGCAGCTGCATGTCTGTAACATAATTAATGCTTAGAATTCAAGCAATAGAGGGAAAAAAACAGATTTATTGTGAAATATAGATAGCAAGCATATATAATTTTACCTGCACGGGATTCCATTTAGTTGCCACCAATAACAACTGCAAGTTTTGGCGGTGAGATCAACCTTGAACTTGTGAGTATTGAATGACACTTCATACCGGTTGTTTCCCGCATATCTAGCCTCCCATTTTCGACATTCTGCAACTTCTTTGTCCAATCGCTTGCGAGGTCGCGGACACACAATACCCTTGTCACGGTACTTATCGGCTTTGACACGATTTTCTGCGAACCGAGTCATGAGATATGTCCGGATCCAATCAAGCAAACTAATAATTGGAAGTTCTCGTGCCTCCAGTAATCTTCCATTGAAAGACTCCGTGATATTGTTTGTGATCGTATCGCATTTACTGTATGCATCAAAATGAGACCTGCTCCAACAACTTGGAGGGATTGCCATCAAATGATCATGAGCTCCACTACAAATAGCCTTCAACTCATTCATACGGTCTCTCCAATCAGATTGCACGGTTGCCTTTGCAGCACGGAGAACTAAGTCACGAATAAGAGTGCCTCCTCCATATTTGACCTTGATATTAGAATACAAATGGCGCACACAGAATCTGTGTTCCGCACCTTCTAATAATTCTTCAAATGTTGGCACAAGACCCTGCGCAACACAAGCCACAACTATGAATCTGCACAACACAAACCGTAAGTATATTCCACACCTTCTATGTAAATGACAGCTTCATACTAAACCAGTCCGGATCCAAAAAAATTTGAATATGAATGTGAACCCTTTTTACCACATGTGAGTGACAGCTAGATACTAACCTTGATGACCTAATATATTTGAATCTGAATGTGAACCCCTCTTGCCACATGTTGGGAAAGAAAAATAAAAAAAGGGTGATGAACGACTGAAAGCATGCTCGGTCAAAATATCAAAAGCTAGATGTGAACCCCTTTTTATATACTATGCTTCCGTGACCCAAGCATGCTCGGTGGAAAAAGTAATATGCTTTTGTTTATTCTGTAACTTTTCGGTTCACCATATAAAAATCAAAAGCTGAACAAAAAACCTTAATTTAACTATCACAATAATTTAAAATACAAATAATCCAGAATCTATATGATACAAACAAAAGGTAAAGAAACTGTATGATACAAAAAATTTAAATATCACAATGGAAGTTTCATGTAAAGAAATATTTGATACATTTAAGATACAAATAATACAAAAAAAAACTTACTTTTTGTTGGTCTGATATAAATACCCATCTCCTTTCCTGCATACTCCCAATGTCATCGAACAGATTTTTCAAAAACCATGTCCATGAGTCTCTACTTTCTGACTCAACCACGGCCCATGCTAATGGAAAGTACTGGTCATTAGCATCACGTCCCACAGCCACAAGTAATATCCCTCCATATGGACCCTTCAAGAAACACCCATCTAACCCAATGATCGGTCTACAACCCGCTACAAAACCTCGCTTCACAGCACCTATGCACTCATATAATCTCTTGAAAACAGGAGGATGATTTACGCAAGGCTGATCAGTAAGTAATGCAAATGTTGTTCCTAAGTTACATTTCCTCACTTCATTACAATAATCTCTTAATTTATGATATTGCTCCTTATAGTCACCATCAATCAAAGCCTTAGCCTTTTTTCTAGCCATGTAGGCCTTCCACACAGAAACATCAACCATGTAGTGTTCTCTCACTGACGCAATTATATCCGCCAACTTGATGTTTTTGTTTCTCTTCATGATGTGAACTATCTTTTCTGCAATCCACTTGTAGCTAGCATTCTTCCCTTTTAAGGATACCCCACATGTATGTTTTGAGTGTAATGTCGTCAACCGATATGTTAACTCACCTCTCACTTGGCTCACAAACATTAACCACTTGCATTCAACATGTGCACATTTAACCCTACACCTCACCTTATCATTCTTCACAAATTTGATTTCATATCCATGGAGTAAGGCATACTCTCTAACTGCATCTTTAAACTGACCAATGGAAGTAAACTCCATACCTAACACAAATTTAAACTCTTTACACATCTCTACCGGATTATATCTTACTCTGTTAACGTTGCCTTCTCCTTCATCGTCTTCTTCACTTGATCTTGCACTTTCATCAATTCCCTCTGACTCATGATCAGATAACAAGCCCAATATATCTTCCTCCCTTGCCTCAACAACATTATTTTGTCCTCTACCATCAGGTTCGGCTCTCCAAAATTCTGAACTCTCTACAACTTCTTCTAACACATCATTTACTCCCACATCTACATATTCTGAAAAATAATCATCATCAATTTCCTCCTCTTCACTGTTCTTAAAGTCTGAGAACACAGACCCTGAGTTTGTTTCGCTCCCTTCCTCCCCACCAGTATCACATCTATCACTTTTCCCTTCCTCCCTATCCATATTTAACCTGTCATGGCAAAATAGTAAACTAAACCACGACAAGATGAAACAAAACATTACATAACATCAGTCAACATGATATCAAAATTAATTTAACAATAAACAGAGCACAATGTAAGCAATGCATGAACCACACCCATTGTTCGGCAACAACATTGTACCCACAGACCATATCATCGAAATGAACAACAACATAAACAAATTATACACGATTGTGCTCTGGTTTTGTTTAACACTGCCCACAGACACTCATCAAAATAGAGCACCAATGGGTTCAACTAACACAAATCAAAACAGAGCACCCATAGACACTGACCACAGATTGCATGATGAACAAGATGGGACTTTGAGTTAGTTGAACTCAAATGCACAATGCAACTTCAATGTCAACACTATTTTCGAACAGATTGCAAGATGAACAGGACGGGATTTTCAATCAATATATTTAAAGGTTCATATTTGTAGCACTTACCCTTTGACAATAGCGATGCGAACACAATGGTAATCAACAATGTCTTCCTCGCCTTTCAACGGACAAAAGCAAATGAATATCAGTTATAAACCTTCTTACCACGACGGCCGCCGGTAAAAGCACTTTTCCGGTGACGCCCACGTCAGTAATCGCCGGCACGAGTGGGTCCTCTTGACCTAGCACTTTCCCCTTTTTTTTTTCCCTCCACAAACCGTGTTTGTCGTTATGTTTGTCGGCCCCTGCGTTTTGCCTCTGATTCCCCTTTTTTTTTTCTTTTTTCGGTCCATCTCTAGCTAACATGACACCAGGATGCCAGCTCAGCGGTTCATTACCAGGTCATGTGGTCCAACTCAGCACATAACGGTGTTAATTCCATATCAGTAGGATTTAACGGTGCCAAGAAGCCAGGGACCAACGGACATAAACGGACATAATTTGAGGGACCAATACCACACGTTTTAAATTTTAGGGACTAAAACCAAATTGGGCTTAAATTTGAGGGACCAAAATTTGTATTAACCCATAATTATTTTAGATAAAAGAGTTTATTATTTGTGGAGAAAAAGAAATATAATAGTTATACTAATAGAATTTTGAGTAGATTATTTATTTATAAATATTTGCATTACTATTGAATTTTTGATGATTTTATTTTGAGGTTTTACACTTTAATAGAGTTTTTTTTTAGAATGTAAAATATAATAATTTCATATTTGAGAATTTTGGAGAATTCTTTTTTATTA